ATCCCATCTAGTTACAATTAATGTCATTATAAATGATTTTACAAATAAGATTTTTGATTTTAGATCTCTTTAAAATATGGCTGCAAAAAGTATATTTCCCTAATGTAGGTTCCAATACGATGCTGTTGCTTGACTCCTGGAGCGGTCATTGTGACAGTGCCATAGAAACTGTAACTCCACGTGATAAAATTATAAATTTTAAAAAAATACCGACTGGCACAACGGGAAAAATTCAGCCACTTGATGTTTTTGGATTTCGCATATGGAAGAACTTTGTCCGTCAATTTTCAGATACCGTAATTTTGATGAATTATGATTTGGATTTACATAAAAGAAACGACATTATTAAACTTCAGTCGTTAGTCCACAATCAATTATCTTCACCAAGATATACTAATCTTTTTAAATATTCCTGGTTCAAGAGTGGTTACCTCACTAAAAAACCAGAAAATTTTGACAATCCTGTTGCTTACAGTTTTGGAGATTCCTACAATACACATTGTGACATAGAAGGATGCAAAAATGTGGCTATTATACGTTGCGGTTGGTGCAAAAAATCATTATGTTTCGAGCACTTCTATGAAGAATATCATTATTGTAAGAAGTATGAACAATAAATCCGTCCTAATTTTTTTGATTGTTTTTAATTGGTAACTGAATGAATTATAGTAACGCATATAAAAATCAATTAAATATATATTACTTGGCAGTTTACAATTTTAGTCACAAGAAAGGAGAAAAACTCAACCAACAAAAACAATGGCAATGCTATCAACCCTCCTAATCACCGAATGGCGATGGTAATAAACCTCCCCCTAATAACCCTCCTAATATCCCCCAATGGCATTGCTTACAACCCCCCATTAACCTCCTAATAACTCCCCCCCCAATAAGACCCTCCCCCTAATAACCCCCTAATAACCCCAGTAGTTAGCAGGGTTGATAACGTTGCCATTATGTTATTCGGTGGGTTGCAAGCATTGCCATAAGGTTGCAAGGGGGCTCAGCTATGTCTTCGGGCTATTAGTGGGGGGCTAACGGCATTTTCATTGGAGGTTTTTAGGGGGTTATTAGGGGGGGTTGTAAGCATTCTGATAGTGCGGGTTAGTGCGGAAAATTGCCATTGGGATATAAGGGGAGTTTTAGAAATTGCTACTGGGTGATGGATCATTTTTCCGGACAGATTCGGAATCGGCGAAACAAAATACTTTGGAAAAACGTTGTCCCAGTTCTGGGTCTTGTTGGGTAATATAATCTTGAATTGGTACGTATTTTTCGTATTCTATCCACGATAATAATTTTTCCAATTTTTTAAGCTCATTATGAACTTTTTTTCAAAAATAGGAATGGAGAAGGTAAAAATTTCGATGACATAAATTAGGGGTTGCAACCCTCGTGGTCGAAACTGCACGAGATAAATGTGTTTGTACATTATAAGTGATGAGCAACGTATTTTACAGTAAATTATCAACACCACCTGTAATGTATTGGAAACAATTTTTTGGGGGTGGTTTTTCAACATAAGGAGTGGTTTAAAAATAAAAGGTAAATTTTTTTTCTTATTCTATCCACGGTAATATTTTTACTAATTTTTTCAAGCTCATTATGAACTTTTTTTCAAAAATAAAAATTTCGATGACAGAAATTAGGGGTTGCAACCCTTGTGGTCGAAACTGCACGAGATAGTTGTAACTCCACAGTTTGAGTTGTTTGTACAGTATAAATGATGCTTAACGTATTTTACACTAAATTATCAACACCACCTGTAATGTATTGAAAACAATTTTTTAGGGGTGGTTTTTCAACTTTAAGGGGGTAGTTTCAAAAAAAACCTTGACTAGATTAACTTTATTTTTTGTATTTTATGTAGGGTAATATTTTTTCCAATTTTTTTCGGGTTATTTTAATTTTTTTCATAAATATAGCCATGAAATAGATAGTATTTTAAATAAAAAGAATAAGGGTTGCATCCCTTGTGGTCGGAATTGCATGTGCTAGTTTGCTTTTCACATGAGAAGTGATATGAAATTTGTTTGGTCGTAAAATATCAATTAGATGCTGAGATACATTGGAAAATCTATTTTTGGGGGTGAACTTTGAGGGTTGTTTTCACCCCCTTAAAGTGTTTTTCCGCCGATAAAAAAAATACGTATGTCTTATTTTTTGATGAACTATAACATATCAAATATTATTGAAATCGGTGAGGTCGGGTTGGGGGGGTTTCCTTGTAAGAGAGGTCGAGGTCGACCTCGAAAGGCTCCAAAGACGGTCGCCGGTCCAGCGAGGGGCAACAACTCTCCCGTGAAGGAGAATAGAGGGAGAGGTAGGCCTCGAAAGACCGTGCCCGTCGTATAAAGGACGGTTGGGCCGATAAAACCGAGCGGTAACCGACGAGGGCCAGGACGTTCCCACAAAGAATCGCGAGGGAGCGTATAACTCGGTGGGATGCGGCTTATATTAGGATTTGTTCTTCGCGTAGGGAGATTCATCCGAAATTTGTTGGTTTGGATGTTTCAGATGGACCGGAGAATCGTCGTCGAAGAGGAGACCTTCGAGGTGGTCACGCAGATGCTGTTAGATCTGTAACTGGGCCCTGATGCGACGCAGCTAATTGAAGATCTGCGGAGCTTCGCCAGGGTCCAGTTGGAAGGGACCACCCGAAGGGAGCGACGCAATGCCTCGGTGGCAGAGGTTCTCCGGGATTCGTCGTGGGTCGCCCCGAAGAAGGCTTCTCGGGACGCTTCGACACAGACCGAGGACCAGGACAGTGTCGAACGTCCCAAGTCTACAGTGGACCAGGGGGTGCAGACCCTCAATTCCGGCGTATCCCTTACGTCGGACAGTGCGAGCCAATGCCCAGGACCCAGGGAAACCTGTGGGGCCTCGCACTGGGTCTGCAATCATCCCCGGATCCCTGAGCAGCCTACTCTCCTCCTCGACTTCAGACACGTGCGTCTGGGGATCAACGAGGTGGAGAGTGCATGGCGGTTCACTCAAGAACTCCAGTCTCAGGTGCAGGAGCACCTGAGACGCTTTTTGAGCCACCGCAGCGCTCCCGGCACCGGCTCCAGAGAAGAGAGCCCCGGGAGCTACTGACGCTGAACCAACGCTCACGGTCCATGTGGACGGGCGCATGGCTCCTGATACCACCATCGTGGTCAGGTCGCAGGATGGACGTGCGACCGCCACGGTGGGAGGCGTGACCATCACCGCCTCACAGGGAGTCAGTGCCCAGCAGTCCCCTCTGGCTGCTGAGCAGCGATCACAGGACCGGGAGGCTGCTCAATCTCGGTCGCAGCTGAGGGGCTGCTACATCTGTGTGGAGCCTGGGGTGACCAACTCCCAGCGGTGCCCGAAGAAGGCTACACACTGGCGCTACCCGAAACATCGCGCGCCAGGTGTAGCCAAACGATGATGTAGGCCCTGGAGGGCAAATAAATTAGCCGAAATAAAGAAGGGAGTTTATTATTTTGTTTCCTTTTCTTCTTTATTACTTTCAGGTTCCTGATGGCAGCGAATCGCGGCTATTCGTCCTGCCCGGGTAGTCAGGACTTGGAGGGGGCTGCAACGGTAGTCAATTCAATTAATCGAACCGTTCGCGATTCTGATTTTCGCGCGTTAGTTCTAAGTATTAAGAGAGAGAGGGGGCGCGCGATCTTTTAAATTAGCAGTTACGTCTCAGCTGTTGTTACGAGTAGATATCGCCGAAGTTTATTTGCACTGTTTTTTCTCGCCGACTAATAGTTTCTTGTCCAGAATAATTACGCGCGTGAGTGCAACAACGTGATCTACGGATTACAGCGTTTCGGTAGCAGCAGATTTGCAGCTGATAGGCGGAACGAGGCAGCACAGCTGATAACCTAGGACCAGAGGCAGTTGATAATTTATTAACATCAACAATTACGGCTGATCACCGTAATTGCACCGCAGGGTAGGTGCACCTCCCTTAATTATCGCCCGACATAATATATTTGATATTTTGTCCAACTGTGTTAGCGTTGATTTTTTGTATTCGCGCCGAGCGTTATATCGCGCCAATATTCGTATCTTCTCTCTCTCTCTCTTTCTCACCGAAAGTTATTTAATTGTAAATCCTGTTCGCGTGCGTCAGTCTTTCGGCCCGACAAAGACTGTAGTAATTTTTATTAATAAAATCTATTAAAATTATTCGCCGATTGCGTCATATGATTTTTGCTAGTAGTTTAAACAATTAGAAAAAGCTAAGGTTTTAATCCTATTATAGCTAGGGGATTAAGTGGATTTGGAGTAAAGTCGCTTACACTTGAAACTCATCGTGTGTCACAAGGCACGTGACTTAAGGTGAGTTCAACTCTGCTTGATCGAAGACAACTAAGTTAAGTCAGCCGACGTTAAGGCGAATACACGTATTAACATACGTGTTAACGGAGCGGCGGTTTGCTCTGCATCGTGGGAGTTTGTTCTTAAATAAATTTCTCAATTTTTGCAGATTTATCCCCCCGTTACATGGCAATATATTGCGGAAATATTGGCAAAAAGTATTAAAGATATATTGCCAATATATTCTCCATATATATTGCATGGCTATTGCCAATATTTACTTTGTGGTCTATTAGCAAAATATTACCAATAGTTACTAGATGAGCCAGAATTTAGCAACTATTGGCAACATATTGGCAACAGTTATGTTGTTATAAATTTCTCCAATATATCGGCAATATTTTGGTAATTTTTTCAAATAAATCCTCCACGATAGCTTGCCAATATATTGGCAACACATCGGCAATATCCAATATATTCGCAATATAATATTGCTTCACTCTGGCCAATATTTTGGTAACATTTATTATTTTTTTCATTCGCTTTTTTTACAAATTAAATACACACAAAGATAATAGCATTGTAATTTTATTTCAAAGTATAATCATTAAAACAATGTAAAATTATAAAAATAAGAACGCTATAAATTAAGAATGCATTTTAAAGGTAAATAAAGTATAAATAAAAACATGAGCCAAGCTTCATTTTTTGGGATGACGTATTGAACCAATCAGGTAGTTGGCGACAGTAGTAAACTGCGCTGGAGTAAGTCCTTCTGGACATTTTTTGTTGACATAGTCTGTAATAAAAGTATTTTATATTTACACGATTTGTCCGCAATCGTATGAATTTTATAAATATTAAAAATTGTTTTTATGATCTTACACTCAATACAGGCAGTGATGTCCTCTGTGATCGCTTTTTTTTGGAAGTCCTTCCCCTGGCACACATATTTTTTAAATTTTTTTCGCCAACCAGCAATCTAAGCAATCGGCGCACCATTTCTTTCGGCTTATTTCTCCATCTCAATAAACACGTTAAATCGGTTTTATTTATCCATACTTCGGGAAAATCTTCAGATATCAAAACTTTTCCAGGTTTATATAATCTGCTATTAGCAAGCGGATCATCTTCCTTATCCCCGTCATCCTCAGACTGATAATATATAAATTTTAGCGTCATGCGTTATATAACGTATAAAATATTCAAATTAAAAACACAACTTCGTCCGATGTAGAAATTCGCCTCGTTTTCCGTGCATTTCGACCTCAAACATGTTTCAAGGAGCTCCTCTCAGCTGGCAAATCATCCTACCTTTCGCTGTCGTCATTTTGAACTCGTTTTGAGCGTCTGCTATCAGCAAGCGGATCCTTTTCCTTCTCTCGCTCATCGTCAAACTGACAATTTATAATTTCTAGCGTCCTGCTGATCTTTAAAATATTCAAATAAAAAAAACAACCTCGTCCGACGTAGAAATTCGCCTCGATTTCCGTGCATTTCGACCTCGAGCAAGATTCAAGCGGCTCCTCTCAACAATGGAATCATCACTTTCACTGTCGTCGTTTTGATCTCGTTTTGAGTGTCTGCTATCAACAAGCGGATCCTTTTCCTTCTCCTTGTCGCGCTCATCGTCAGACTGATAATTTATTAACTTTTATCGTCATGCTGATATGTAAAATAATCAAATAAAAAACAAGTAACCATGTCCGATGCGAACGTTTGTTTCTGATTTCCAGCATGTTTTAATAAGCGGCTCTGAGCATCTTCTATTCTGCCGTCATCATTAGATTGATACAACGTTTCTCTCTGAATCTGTACATTTCGATCTCGATCATGCCTTGAGTGAAGAAGTGGAATACGCTTATCAACTGTGCTATCGTTATTTCGAACCTGATGATAACAATTAAAATTATAAAACCGAAGTACAAAAAGAAATGTTAAATTCTCAACTCAAAAATGGGTTGAGTATCTAACGAGCAGGCTGCTTGGAAAAAGCAGCTTCTCTCCCAAAACGCGACAAAATGTAACGGTTTATTTTTCTACGCACTTGTTGATAAATATATTTTATTTTGCCAATTTGTCCACTGCAAATAATTTTAGTATTTGCCCTCGATAGAACGATAAATCAATTGTTCTACAATTGATTCTAAAAACGTAAGAAAATAAAGTACGCGTTATATTTTTTAATATTTACTTTGCTGTTGCCATTCCCATAATCATCATCCTCATTACTGTCAGAGTCATCGAGAATTCTGTCAAAATTACCGTCGCCTTCACCATCCAATTTTGCCTGCTTTCTTTTTGACGACTCGCCGTTGCGTTCGCCATCCAATTCTGCATGCTTTCTTTTTTATGATTCGCCGTCGCGTTTGTCATCCAATTCTGCTTGTTCATGAAACTTTTTAAAGTAAATTGAAAATAAACGCAAGCACATGTAGACAGCAGCGCTCGATCTGTGTATAAGCTGTGTTATTTACAACAGCGCAGAGAAGCTCACGCGGCGGTGAAGAAAAGCTCGCGCGGCGCGGCGACAATTGTTATTAAAAAAATCACGACCAAAATCCCTCTCTGATGCCTTAACTTTGCGTTCCGTTTTCTTTTTAACCTATTACATATTATAATACTGCTGCCGTTGATGATGTAATGCATTGTAACATCGTGTATTTATCGGGTCAACGCTTGCGAACAAAAAGCGTTTATTTCTCACACTCATGGGTGAGTCGCGGAATGATTCGATCTCTAATCGGTGATCTGATTTATGACAATGCAGCGTGCGATCGAGATGTTTTTTTCGCAAATTGTTAATTTTATTACATTTCAAAATAATAATACTTTTAAGGAGAGCTAAAGAAACGATCTCTGTCATGAAACAATCATTGAATAACGAAAAAATCGTAAAACCGAAATAATTATTCATAACAAATACACAATATCTGTACTGTTTTGTTAGTAATATTTGAGGCTATGTTTTTCTCTTTAAAGCCAGTTGCGATCGTTTGCGTCAACCCTTCTTGGTTTTTTTCAAAGAATGCACTATTAGTTTTCTTAGCAATTGACTGCTCACTAGTAGTTCTCACGTTCTGTTTATAATAGGTAATATTACGGGTTACATTTAAATTAATTGAATAAAAAGGATGTAATAAGTATTTCGATTGTTAATTGATACTCGAGTCGATGTTCCGCCCCACTCATATATGCTATCGCGTCTCTTTTTCACTACAAATCGTTTTGGGCGCTGATTTTTGCCGTCGCAGGCTGATTTCACAACTGCACTTGGTACATTTTCATCAAAATCCACGTCCTAGGATATATAATATATTTACAATAAATAATAAAGAATGATAAGTCTTTTCCATTTTTACCGAGGGAATCTCTTCTTTTTCGCTATCAGAATCTTGAAAAACACTTTTAGAGTCTAATAATGATACATTAGTAGCTTGTTTTTTTCCTTCCAATTTATTTTTCTCAAGAATCAATTTCTGCTTCAAGTATTTTTGTTTACATAAAGCTATCTTTTTTTGGGAGTTGCCTTTTCTTAGAATTAGTTCTCCATCAGTGCTCACAGCTAGAGATCTTAGATAGTGTTTATCAACTACATTGAGAATATTATTGTTTTTAGAATTTACATTGCATAATTTAGAAAAAAAATTGAAATTGATAAAAGCTTGAAATAAAGTTGTTGAAAAATACGTATTTATTTTAGTTTATTTTACCATTTTTGCGAATAATTTTTACTTGATACAATTTTCCATCGCTGTATCTGGCCATAGTTTCTTCCCCTTCTTCTTTATCAGGTACTAATTGATTGATATCGATCGTGCTCGTGGTATTATAACCGGTCCATAGTATTAGCGCGAACATTTTTCCGCAAGAAAATAACTACAGTTCAGAGCTTTTTTCCCTTTTTATCTCTAGCGTTATTTAACCGACTAACCTCAGTTGACTTTAAAAAAAAACAATAACAATAACAAAACGGTGCAGCCGTGACAAAAAATGAATTCCAGTACATTAACCTCTTGATTAACCTGAAATGACGTAGTTCCATATACTTAATTTTGTTAATAAAAATATTAATAAAAATGCCAAAAATCAAGAATCATTTCGCAGAGTATTTCCACACTGGTCCAATATCGCTTAGAAAAGTTTATGAAAAGTGATTTAAATGAAACTGCAGATTGCATGACTACATCCATTAATGTAAGTATGATGTCTAAATACATTAGCTTTACGAAAGAATAAATATGAAGATGATAAATTAAAAATTCATTTAGTTGGACAATCGCTATGATGTTCGAGTCGAAAATGATGATTTCAATGAGCTACTATATTTGATTGCTGCGACATGGATGTCGATGCAACTACCGATCCAATGAGTTGGCCAAAATTTGATTACGGTACAACAACTTTTAAATTCACAAATATTGTTACAACCTTCTTTTATCGAAACGAAATATATTTCAAAGTGTGATATGAAGGCAACAGGTACGTACGGTATACATTTTGAATGTAATAAAATTGGCAGCATTAGCATTACTTTCGAAGAGCGCGCACTGCGCACGCACATCGCGGCATTCGCGGTCAGCTGCGAGCTTTTTTTTGTCGTCGCCGTCGCCGCCACGCTGAGTGCGCTATAGCTGCTACTGTTGCTGCTGGCGCATACACATTGCACACGCACACGGCACACTTACGTGCATATAACTTTTGTCACATCGAGTATAGTCAAGAGAATTTAAATGCGAGCTTCGTTGTTGTAAGCGATGGCACCTGTTTCAATATGCCCAATTACAAGTTCATGGCACGCGCTAATCATTCGCTTTCATCATTCACGAAAAAAAATTGAATCCCATGTGATTCATTCACTTACTCTGGTACATTTTTCAAATGTCAGGAGTTTTATTTTTATTTATTTAAAAAAAGCCCAAAGTAGGATAACTAAAGAAATGTCCATGGATAGGAAATAAAGTTGAGTTATCAAAGATATCCATTTTCGAACGTGATACCGACTAAGCAAACGAGCTTTCGATATTACTCTCTATTACTTTCAATATTGAAAGTACATTTATTTGAAAACTTATTCCTCATATTTTTGGCACTTATATTTACTTATACATTTTTTTCGTATAGATAATTATGGAAGTGATGTAGAAGATGACGATTTTAGCGAAAGTAGCAGCGATTCAAGTAATGAAGATGTCAGGCAAGACAGTTACCATCAGCGATCCAACAATGAAGAAAAACTATGCTCTGGATCTACGATGACTGTACGAGCGTTTGTTATTATTTTTGCTACTATTATTCTGTGACATCATATTACTAAAACGTGCGCTGCAGATCTGTTAAAATTGTTCGGGCTGTGTTTTACTAAGCCGCATAAATGCCCAACTACCTATCATCAGTTCAAAAAATACTTTGACGATGGGTTGACAGAATTCAAAAAGCATTACTATTGCGAGAAATTTCAGGCGCCACTAAATAATATCGTCAATAATGTCGACACTGATGAATCGATCGAAATCGATGAGGTTACCGACAACGACGTATACTGTCATTGCGACGTTATTGTAGACGAACATTACTACCTTGAAATTCCGATGATTCCGCAACTTGAAAGTTTGTACGATCGCAAAGATTTTTATAACATTCTTAATAACACAGGTGTTCGTTTTGCCCCATATGGTGAATATCATGATATATATGATGGTGAAATATATAAACAAATCGCGCAGGAAGGCCAAATTCTTTCAGAAAAAAATAACATTTTTTTTCTTTGGTACACTGATGGTGTAAAAATCTTTAATTCCTCAAAGTATAGCATTTGGGGCTTTTTTTTAATAATTTTAGAGTTGCCTTATGCATTAAGATATAAAGTAGAAAATGTTCTGTTAGTTGCGTTATGGTTCGGTGAAAAGAAACCGAACCCAAATTTATTTTTAAGACCACACACAGAATCTCTCAGGAAAATTTATAAAGGCATTAAAATTCATATAGGCGATTTGCGTAAAGCTACAGTAATTAGAAGTATAATTGCTTGCGGAACAGCTGACTTACCTGCGAAAGCTTTATTTCTTGCGATGAACCAATACAATGGTAGATTCGGATGTCAAATTTGTTTGGAACCTGGTCTCACTGTAGCAAAAACTTGCTTATACCCTTACAGAAAAGAAGTGCAGCTTCGAACTGACACGGAGACACTGAATAATGTGAGATTAGCCGTAGAAGCGAATGCGATAGTATGTGGAGTAAAAGGGCCTTCAATTATGTCACAATATGTACCCAGATACATAACTTCCACAGCTATCGACATAATGCATTGTGCGTTCGAAGGAATTGTAAAACGAGTCGGTCAACTATGGTTCGATGCAAAATTTATTGGTGAAAAATTTTCATTTTATAATTTAGTAGAAGTTGTCGATTATAGATTGTGCACAATAAAGCCACCTTGCTTTGTAGCAAGGCGACCAAGGCCGATAAAAACCCACTATTGTCATTGGAAAGCTTCTAAACTAAAAAATTGGGCTTTATATTTTTCATTACCAGTCTTGAACGGGATCTTGCCTGAAGACTATTTCAATCATTATATGTATTTAGTATTGGGACTTCAATTATTATTGCAAGAGAAAATCACAGATCGAATGATAGAATTAGCAGATAAATCTTTCGAAAAATTTATTAAAAAATTTGAAGATTTGTATGAATTAAAATTTATGAGTTGTAATTTACACCTATTGAGACACTTAGCTTTAATGATACGTCGTTTTGGCCCTCTCTTTACTACCTCATGCTTTCCTCTAGAGGATTTAAACGGAAAATTAAAAACAATGGTACGTGGAAGTAAATCTCCACATTTGCAAATCATTTCAAATTTAAGTATGCATATGTCAGTATATACTTTCAAAAATAAATGGTTAGAAGGAAATGAAGAAGCTTCAAAACTTTGCAACAACATTTTATCACCTACGAGAAAATTAAAATTGACAAAAGTTGATGATAGTATTTCTATAGTTGGCTATATATTAAAAAATCAGCCTGAATACATGCATGAAATTTTAGTAAATAATAATTGGACCGATAAAAATGTTTTGGTCTTTTCAAAGTTATATAAGAGCAATATTTTGTATACGAGGTGTGTTCAAAAAGTACCCGGAATTATCGTTTTTCCAAAAAAATATTTATTTATTCGTTTACATCAATGTGGTTCCCTTCAAAGTAATCCCCCCCCCAGATATAATATACTTATGCCAGCGTTTTTTCCAATCTTCGAAGCACTCTTGATATTCACTTTTTGGTATGTCTTTGAGTACTCTCAGCGATTCGGCCTTTATTTCTTCAATCGAGGAAAAACGCCGTCCTTTCATGGGTCTTTTCAACTTTGGGAACAGGAAAAAGTTACACGGAGTCATATCTGGTGAATATGGAGGTTGGGGCACGACTACGGTATTGTTTTTGGCCAAAAAATTACGAACAAGTAACGACGAGTGAAGGTGCGTTATCGTGATGCAAAAGCCATGAATTGTTTTTCCATAAATCAGGGTGTTTTTTTCGGATTGCTTCACGCAAACATTGCATACTTCAAGGTAATACTCCTTATTAATCGTACGACCTTGTGATAAGAACTGTAGATGCACCACGCCCCTGCAGTCAAAGAAAACTGTAAGCAAAACCTTCACATTTGATCGAACTTGACGTGCTTTTTTCGCTCTTGGTGACGTTGAATGCTTCCAGGTGGACGATTGTGCTTTGGTTTCGACATCATAACCGTACACCCATGTTTCATCACCAGTTATGACCCTTTCAAGCAAACTTGGATCGTCGTTGACGTCGGTTAACAGCTCCTGGGCGATGTTCATGCGATTGTTTTTTTGGTCAAAGTTGAGCAGTTTTGGAATGAATTTTGCTGCCACCCGTTTCATGCCCAAAACATTTGAAAAAATGCTATGACATGAGCCAATTGATATACCAACTTCATCAGCAACTTCTCTAATTGTGATTCGGCGATCATTCAGAATCATTTTTTCCACTTTTTTCACATTTTCATCGATTGTTGACGTGCTGGGTCGACCGGAGCGTTCGTCATCTTCAACGGCTTCGTGGCCATCTTGGAAACGCTTATACCACTCGTAAACACTTGTTTTTTCCATAGCAGACTCACCAGAGGCTTTTTATAATATATTACACACTTTGTTACACTTTATTTCATTTTTTACGCAAAATTTAATACAAATTCTTTGATCCATTTCTTTTAAAAAACGAAAATCGCCGAGCTCATAAAAACACGTCAAACCTTAGCGACTACCGCAGACAAAGTAAACAGTGAATATAGCTGAAATTTTATCATACTTCAGGGGCATGTATACCAACACAATAAAAAAAAATTTTGACAATCGAACTCTCTAGACCCGCGAAATTTAAAAATTCCGGGTATTTTTTGAACACACCTCGTACATCTAAAAAAGTCGATATTGACAAGAAAACCGAATCGTTTTATGTCAAGTATGTTTTCAATGATTCAGTTGAATTTGGTATAATTCAAAATTTTATACGTATTACGAATTGTAAATGTAATAAATTATGCATGTGTCCAGGAAAACATTATGCGATCGTTCAGGAAATCGTAGTTCAAAATCCATTTTCGATAGACTTGCCGGGTGGTACTTTATATTTAGTAAATAAATGTATTGCGATAAATGAAAATTTTAAAGTTGTGAAAATAGAAAGTTTGATAAATATTTGCTATCACATTAAAATTGAAAATGTAGATACTGATTATATTATAGAACCAGTTAATAGTGTTGAAAATGAATGATTGTAAAAATTGTTGACTCATACGTACTTTGTAATGCATATACTGTAAGCTTATTTGA